CCGATCAGTTTTCATATTTCAATGTTTTCTAGAACTTAATAACGTGGCATTAGTATTGCAATAAATTTTTCAAAGGAAAACTTCTTGTTGTAATTTGCCGAAATTCGTGTGAATATACATAAGTTCTTTTTTCCATTGTTTTGTCGAGAAGATTGAGAACTCAATGATTGATTTACAACTTCGAGTATAAATGAATACTATTACGTTTGTCTAGGAAGTGTGTTTGAAATTCTATTTTTGCGCTTTGATAAATTTGCAAACACAATACAAAAATACACACACATACACACACACAAAATACACAAACAAATTTTGTACCCAGTATCCACCAGGTAGATTTTGCAATACGATTACTATTAATATTAATGAGATCGTCCAGGGGGACTATGCGAGTCCTGCGTGGGGTTTGTAAGGCATGTGCGTATAGTTAATAATGGTACCACAATACCTCACAGTCACAGAGGGAGGTATACGTATATAGAGCAGAATTAGTAAGGTTTTATAACATATATTTACATCGGCATAAGTGCACACGACACATACACATACATAATACATATATACATACACACACGCGCGACGGACATGTGATTTCACCTATAAGGAAATTCTAGTTGTTAAGGGAGCGTGAGCGTCTTATTCGATAAGATTGTTTTAAGGGTCAGTTGCATTAACAGGCTTAGTTAACTGAGTGACAGCAGATAATAATGTTAGGTAGTAGCAAATTAAGATTTTTCGACAAAATTTTCGATTAACTGCTTTAACTTATGTTAATTTTAGATAAATTTAATTATCTATTAGAACTCTTAATTAAATTAAATTGATTTAAATTTAATTAAGTTTCAATTAATTTTATTTTAATCTAAGTCAATTCTAATTAATTGAATTAATTTAATTTAAATCATTTTAAATTAATTCAAGTTAAAATTTCGATTGGACACGATTAGCGCTAATATTAGTGCGTTTCTAAGATTTAGCTGTACCTTAATTAATTCTGAGTAAATCAGCTAATAATATAGAGATAAGAAAGAATGAAAGTTTATTTAATTGCAGATATATTAATTAACGTTTTTGTTATAATTATAGTTGATGCAACCGGCTCTAAGAATTAATTGTAAGAGAAACGTAGCGTTCTGCGCCAAGCGGAAGGCCTCCAGGCTGCAGCGTGTCGAAACTGAATGTAATAATCGGAAAAGAAAATATTATCAAGTTAAAAAACGAGATATGAAATTTTTTAAAATAATCGAGATTCTAAAGATGATGAATGAGGAAGTTTAAGTTTAGCGCAAAGTACGACACGTTCACAGTCCAAAAGAGGCTCGTAAAAAAGTAGCTCAAGTCTCTGTCTCCGATTGTCGATTGCGTGATTAGGCGACGGGAAGTGTATGTGTCAAACGTTTTTGTATATTTGTAACATTTTCCTCGTCGTTGTACGCGAACAAACGCGCGTGACGCTGTAAAGACCGATTACTTTTGAATGTACACTTCTTCTAGCAAAATGTGATATTACTGATAAACGGACGGTCACGATATTAGACTCGTCTTGCGTCAAGCGAAATGCTACAAACGTTAAATGAATCGAGCGTTCATATACAGACTGTCCCGGCACTGTTGCGTACTTTGCTCTCGATTTTTCGACAAATTCTGCATCTTTAAAACACGATATCGGCGCGATATCTTGCAATGGAAAATTAAAAGCTTCCGATTCTGGTTGTGAAAAATGTGATGATTCGTGAAGATTCGTTCGGAGGCCCGATCAAATTCCAATTAATATTCGACATCGATATTACTAGCGCTTGGCACAGAATGTAAAATACATCCTCTCATATGCCAAAGTATGCAGCTGTACCCAGAGTACAACATCTGTGTATTTTCGTTCGGTATTAAATACGTAAATTCGCCTATGAAGATTTTTTACGCGATCTGTTTATAAATTATGTTCTTAGACAAATATATATTCGTAGAATTTGGCACAAAAATTATTTAGGATAAGAAAAGGGATCAAAGGATTAAGATTAACCTTTAAAGACTAACTCTTTTTTTCCATAGTTGTTTATAAATCATATATCATGTGTTTCTCTGAGACATATATTCAAAATAAATATAATCGATTTAATTAAACAAATATTATAGTTTTAAAAATCTAAAAATTTTTAAATCTAATTCTTGAGAAATATTGAAAAGTTAGAATTTTTTCTCGATCATTACGGATAAGAAAAAATCAATATGAGCATGTATGTCTCAGAGATATATGTATGATATAGTGCTCTTTTATAAAAATGTACAAGATGTTGTACTTCGGTTGTACAAAACAGGTATTATATTAAAATCTTATTTATATATAATTGCCAAATACTAGTCACAAATACTGCATTTTTCAGTTGGATTTCAGTATTGTTTACTAATAAAATACCAATTTACGTGCGAAATCTTGTATTTGTTATTATTAATGTTTTTAATCCAAGTAAGAAGAAGAGAGAGAGAGAGAGAGAGAGAGAGAGAATGAGAAGAAATAATTGCAAAAGATCTAACAAGGAACAAGCAAGTTCACCTTTTAAAGCATTGAATGAAAGTAGAAAACTAATCTTTGAATTTTCCTCAAATATTTTGAGTCTTATCAAATTGGCCAATTATTCTTTCGATTTGCATTCATTGTACCCGTTATTTAACCATAGCTGAGCATCGATAAAGTTCGATAAATATATATGCTCGATAAGAAGTTAATAGCTTCAAAGTATGGACTTGTCTGATCTTTGAAATCATACCTGCAATTCGATCGTAAAGATCACCTATTGTATACGCGATAAGGTGTATTAATTTACTTCTTCTAGTCTAATTACAGGGTGTTCTGCGTAAAGCAAGGACCTATACCTGTGAGAGGACACTAACGATAAAAAAAATGCTATAGGATTTTTTCGAAAGATTTCGATTCAAAAAGGATTTTAATCCAATTATCTTCGGAATTAAAAAAAAAAAGGCAAAATCTTTTTCAATCAAATCATTCAGCTATTCGGATTGGGTTTTAAGTGGAACACCCTGCATGTCTTGTCACCAAGTTCGATTGTTATCCGAGCGGAATGTGCACGATAATCAGTCTGCTGCGGATCTTTTAATTTTTGTAAATATGATGCGGCAATACACGTTCTGGTATTTCAATTAGGATCGTGATAATCGAGTGACACTCACATAATTCTGTAAAAGTAAGATGACTGACTAAAAGAGCAATTTGATTTATCGCTGTTTTATTTTGATAAAATTACGAGTTTTCTAAAACGATTTTCAATAAAAAGAATCATTGATCAGCTTATTTTGTACACATTTTTGTGAAATCTCAAATATGTTCATTTAATTTGTACCTTTTTTTCTTCGAGTATTAAAGAGTATTATTGTTGATAATGCGTTTTCGCCGATATACATTTATATATGAACATAACACCATATGCGAATGTGATAATTATTTTAACATCGCCGTAGGGTAATTTATGGGGGATCAGTTGATAATTTTAAATATTAATATATATATATATATGTATATGCTTAACGTCAATCACGCACCCGAACACAAGAAACGAATCCTGTCCTTCGTTATCGGTATTCGTTATTGTCACAGTGAAATGGTATATATGAGCATATGAGATAATCGCGTATGTATTTGATTACCCATGTTTGTACTGCAATGTTGAATAAACATTTTTTGAGATTAATATTTTTGAATTCTTGATCGAGGAAATTTGAAGCTTTGCATCTTTGTGAATATAAATACCAGGGAGTGAATATAAATACCAGGGCTTACTCATACTCATATTCGCAAGCAAATAACTGGTGAAATATATACAAAGAATTAATTGCACACAAGGGATTCGTTTATTGCACAGGTAAAAATTTATTGTTTTCTACAGGAATGTCATTGATCGACAAGAATAATCATCATTCATCTGCTCTTTTCTTTCTCCTTTTCTATTTTTTTCAGTAGACATATTCTAAGGTGGAATACCCAAAGTTTTTCTCACCAGCTTCTGAGCTATCCTCTCGAATTCACTGCGATCTTCCCTCCACATCTTGGCGGCATCTACATTGGCGCCACTTTCGTCATTTGGTTCAGCTAACATACTTACTACGCTCAACAATATCTTCTCTACACTTTGTACGGGACTCCACCGCTCTGCGCTGCTTTCGTAACCCATTGGATCATCGCCAGGTGCATGTAATATGCTTATGCAAACTCTTCCATCTGGATAGACTGAATGAAATAAAAGATATAGCTATAGTACCTATAACTTTATCTCACGCTTGCAATTTTAATACTACAATATCTTACTATTGGGATGAAAGATTTCACAAGTAAACTGCATTTTTGGAGGGCTCAATGGATAATCTGGAGGAAATATTAATTTGGCTGGAAATACTCCGCCTTCAAAGCAAGTCCCCTCTGGTCCGCTAAAAATTTTATTAAGATTGATATTAAAGTGATAATATTGAAGAATATATGAAAATGCTCGTATGTTGTTTATTCAGCATTAAATACAGATATTTGATTCAAATGCATGAGCAAAATGGAAAAATATATATACAGAATGAAACAGCGGAGAACAAATCGACAGAAAAAGCTTTAAGAAAAGGAAAGATTGAAAGAAGACTTACGTGATGAGAGCTTCCCATTCGAAAAAATTTTCTTCGTTAATCGGACCGGCAATGATACCTTCCGGAGGATTTAAGGTTAGCTCTGCAAAATCGATGCTAATATAGGCATTATTTCTCCGCGGGAAAGAGTATGTCACAATGTAAAGGGAAATGCCTTGCATGACACTAACGAGAAGCTAATGCTACTACAAAGTAAGCAATTAAGAAGTTCATTCTCTCACGTTTATATTCAGCCATCAATCGTCTGAGTGCCGAGCCTGCCATCGTCTTTATCATACGAATAACTTGTCAAGTATGCAAAACATCAAATCACCCTTTCGAAGTTCCTTTCAAGGCTCAGGCCTGATAGCGCGGCTACGCGATGACCAGGATAATTAGATCTAATCTAATTCTTTTTATACGATTTATATAATCTAATTCTAAGTTTTTCTTCGAATAAAAATTTGATTCTGAATCAGTTGTTTCCCTCTAACCTAAATCTACATTTCACACCTGCGTCACTTTCCTAGCACTCATGAGGTCTGTTCTTTTCGGCTAAACTTTTTGCACAGTTCATCTTTCTTCCTTTTCTTTTCATGTTAGAGAGAAAAAGAGAAAAGATGAACCGTGCAAGAAGTAAGCTGAAAAGAACAGGCCTATGTACATTCGCACGCACCTGCACTACTTTGCGGATTTTTGAGCTAAAGATTTAGGACTCTTTCACACTGAACGCGACGAGTGACGAGCGATGAGCGACATCTAATGAGAACTTTGTTTTTTAAACTTTATCTGTGACGCTCAGTGTAGGAGAGTCCTACAGTGGTAAGCATGTATGTATTCGAGCACTTCCATCAACATTTCGTTAGGTTCCTAGGGACTTTCAAGATAAAAATTCGTTGCCGAATGCGTCATTTACAATGGAAAAGTAAGCCGTAAGGAATTGATCAAACACAATCAATTATTCTTCTATAAATCGACTATGATTGGTCAATTTCTTAAGGCTTAAAGCTTCCTTTTCTATTGTAGACGATCAGAATGTCTCGCGCTTTCATTTGTCCATTTATTTCGAGGTAACTAACGCCTATACCATATAGCCAATAACGAAGCGAGATTAAATGCATCGATTTCCACAGCGACACTCGACACGGGGCATCTGAAGAATAGGCTAAAGTCAAGATGACGGCGAATCTGCAGAATTGTTTGAGCGCATCTTGAATTTTACAGTGATAACAATATTCCAGGAAGAGTCGTATGTATCATTTCCGTGGAATGTCCGAATTTTTGGCTATGCGATAAGCGGCAACATCGATTCCAGCGTCGTCGTGAGCGATTAGATTACGCATTCTCAGTTTTGTCTCGTAATCATAAAACTGTACGGAGAATAGCGAGTGATTGTACGCGAACGATTGTGAGCGAAGAGATTTGACATTGTGAAAAAACGATATTTCGCGATTTCTCCTTCTTCTTTGAGAAAATCGGCGCGCTCGGACTACCGAAGAATTCATCGCGATGATGCTGACGTTTCCGCAAAAATCGCGTCGATGATGGTTAAGATCACAACGAAGTAGCTAGCATAATATCTCCGATAGGTGACATCTGACATTTGCCTTTGAAGGTTACTAATCGACAAATTGTTTCAGAAGCTTGACAGGCTCAAGCGGCCTGTGTTGCGCACTTGATTTATCAATAACATCTTGAGCATGGCTTCAGCAATACTGCAGGTAAGCGCTTGTAAAATTCATTTGATTATTCAGGTCGACAAAACAATGGCACATTTTTATACTTGGAAGGATGCTAATAAAATCACTATATTCATTAATTTTAATTATGATTTAATTTACTCTTTTTCTGATTCTTAAACTTTCTGACCTAGAACTAGAAAATAAATAAGTTAAATTAAGATTAAAGTTAATCTACATTGATAGAAAAATGAACACGAGTGATCAACCATTTTACAGAAGGCTATAGATCTTGTGACAAAGGCTACCGAGGAGGATCGCAATAAGAATTATGAAGAAGCCCTGAGATTATATGAGCATGGTGTCGAATACTTTCTGCATTCAATAAAATGTATGTTTAATAGCAACTGTTTGATATCTAGTCTTAAGAAAATATATTGTTGTTGTATCACAAAACTAAATAATTAGAACTAGAATAATCTAAATAACTAAATAATTTAATTATACTCTAAGTTAGCGTAATTGAAATCCTTGATTTCAGATGAGACACATGGAGATAAGGTAAAGGAAAGTATAAGAGCAAAATGTATGCAATATTTAGAAAGAGCAGAAAAATTAAAGGAATATTTGAAAAAGAATAAGAAAAAGCCTGTTAAAGCTGGAGCAGATAACTCCAAAAGTGAAGATAAGAAGAGTGACAGTGGTGACAGTGATACTGATAGTGACCCTGAAAAGAAGAAATTACAGAGCAAATTAGAAGGTATTATAATTCATGAAAATACAAATGTTAGATGGAGTGATGTGATTGGTCTTGATGGAGCCATTGAAGCTTTGAAAGAAGCTGTTATTCTACCTATGCACTTTCCACATCTTTTTACTGGGAGGCGCATACCTTGGAAAGGCATTCTGTTATTTGGGTTAGGTAATTTAAGCATAAAAAGGTAGTGGTGTGTGTGTGTGTGTGTGTGTGTGTATGTGTGTGTGTGTGTGTGTGTGTGCACGCACGCGCATGTATGTATGTATATACGTGTGTATGTATGTATGTTTGTTGGCTAGAAATGCATTTTCAATTTTTGATTTGCTATTTAGCCACCAGGAACTGGTAAATCCTATTTGGCAAAGGCAGTAGCGACAGAAGCTAATCAAGCTACTTTTTTCTCCGCATCATCATCGGATTTAGTAAGCAAATGGTTAGGAGAGTCAGAGAAGCTTGTAAAAAATCTATTTGAATTAGCACGACAAAGGGAACGTAGCATAATATTTATTGATGAAATAGATTCACTTTGTTCGTCACGTTCCGACAACGAATCAGAATCTACAAGGAGAATAAAAACTGAATTTCTAGTTCAGATGCAAGGTATGTTCTTAAAGATTCTCAACATTTATATTGTGTGTGACTTTTATAGCAAACGAACGCGATTTGAACCAGTTTTTTTCGCATGTATTTAATAGGTGTAGGGAACAATAATGAGAATATACTTGTGTTGGGTGCTACCAACATACCTTGGGTCCTGGATTCTGCGATTAGACGAAGATTTGAAAAGAGAATTTACATTCCGTTGCCCGAAAAGCAGGCGCGTGCTGCCATGTTTAAGCTTCATTTGGGTAATACATCACATTGTTTGACGGAAGAAGATTATAAGAAATTGGCAGCTTCTACCGACGGTTATTCGGGAGCCGATATAAGTATTATTGTACGGGATGCCCTGATGCAGCCGATCCGACAAGTACAAACAGCTACACATTTCAAGCGCGTTAAAGGACCATCGCCAAAGGATCCTTCTGTTATCGTCGATGATTTACTCACTCCGTGTTCTCCTGGTGATCCGGCTGCCATAGAGATGAATTGGATGGAAGTAGATGGCGACAAATTATTCGAGCCACCGGTCACCATGGTAAGGTTTATCGATCATTCGATCTCTTATTTAATATCTATGTATATTAGCATAATGTATATATATTATCATTTTGTAGAAAGATATGTTAAAATCGCTAGCAACGACCCGTCCTACAGTGAATGAAGAAGATTTGGCAAAGTTAGAGAAATTTAAGGAAGATTTTGGTCAAGAAGGTTGAGAGGTCTTGGAACTTTCTCATAAGTAAACAGATTTATAATTCAGGACATATTTTTAGTTATACATGCTTGCCTTATTCCTCTTACGATAACACGCTTGATAATATTTGTATAAATACGTTATACTCGGAAATGATCTTTCTTCTCTCGTCTTCTTATTTAGATCTCTTCTTTTTTTAAACGCAACAGCAGATGCAATCCGATATCGTATTCTCGCTTGTTTAATAAAAATGAAACATAACTTAGGAAATAAACGATATATTTTGAGATAAAAAATTCTTAGACTTTTATCAAGCAGTCGGATAAGAGGTAGATTATTTTCTATTGTAAAGTGCAAAGTAGAAAGAATATTGAGATACGAGGTATATGACAAACTCTGTGTTTAATGCATACTATAACTATCACACTACGATAAGTACCTAACAAATTAATTGTGTAAATTATAGATTTTATATAGTTACTTCCTAATCACTTTATAATTTTAAACACTCTTGCGTATTCTATTATCTAGTTTTTTCGATTCGAGTGGATTTATCGCGAAATTTTATTCGCGATATTCACAAAATCGAAATCGAATCCCACAGTTAGCCAATTTGAATAATTTGCTAACTCGACGGAGTAACAAGTGTGTTATGTAACATACTACATACATATTACTGATATTCAGAATGCTGTTTTCATGTAAATTGTTTTTATTGTTAACTAAATAAATAACAAGCTGTATACTGGTACACAATTGGTATTAAAAAATAGTGAGAAATTGCGACAACTTTAGGGAGGACAATGTCTTAGAAATTCTGAATCCATATAAACGACCGTTATGGTGATGTCATCGCGAAATATTCGCACCACTTCGCTTGGCAGAGTCAACAATTGCGACAATTTGGCATGATCTATTCCATATTCTGTACCACCAAGAGCATTCCTCAACAAATGTGTCGCCGCGTTGCTGTCGAGGGGTTTCTTCTTCAAGCCTTCCTTGCGTTGCAGCAACATTTCATTTATGTCGGACAGTTTCATATTTTTACGAGGTAATCTCAATGGACTGAGTGTAACCTTGCCACTCATATGTTCTCCTACTAAACGCACAGCTTGCAACGGTGAGATTAGGTCCCATAGTCCGTCGCTGGCTAATATGAGAAATTTGTCTCTTGGCGTCAGTCGATGATATCTGACTTCCGGATTGGCCGAGAGATATGGTGGTGTATGATAATTTGGAGGAATCGCTGTCTCACCAAGGAACGGCACCACAACTTTCTTCATAACGTTCTTAGTCCATTTGTAGCGAAAATCACCCAAAGAGCGAAGCGGCGCCAATTGTCCGAGCAGTCTTTCCATTTTAATCACAGTCGATCTCTCATTTAATGGATGCTCTGACAAGATTCTTTCTACCTCCGCACGGTTATCAGCGTTATGCTCTACAGTCATTACTTTAGCCGACCATCCATCGTTTTCTAAATAACAATATAAGATTTATTAATAGGTACATCAAATAAATAATATCAAATAAAATGAAAATTATATGTAAGTGAATGAATAAAGGAACAACGAACCTGAGAGTACTCCTAAGACGGCTTTACAATCACCAACACCTGCGACGTGAAGATGAGGACCATCTATATGTGCCACGGCGGCTACCGTACCTGACATTGCAACAGCGAGAGTTCTCGCGGCATCTTTCTTATTTAGCTGCAACAGAGCTTCGTTCGATAGGTCGTTATCCAATCTGACAAATGCATTTTCCAAAGCCTTTTCCATTTGAAATTCTTGTCTGGTATCTTGCACCAAGTCGTTTAAAAAACTTAAAAAGCTAGCTTGATAAAGATCTCTAATTTCGGCTACAAATTCTACTTTGTCATTAAAAGTCTCGAGTAATTCTAATTTTCTATCAGAGTTGATAGAATTCAAATATTGTTGCAGTAATTTTGGTGGTAGCAAACAAGCTGAAATATAATGAAACAATCTTTTTGATACCACTTGTGCGCAGGCACCACCGCCATGGCCATCGAAAACTCCTAATAATACACCTACATAAAAAATTAAAAATAAGTAGAGATTATAAAAAAACTTGTAAAGACAAAATCAAAAAATCTTACAATGTCTAACATTGAATGTAATAACATTGAAATTTTGTAGCTATGTAACTAATTAGTTATTTTTCATGGCTGACAGAGTAAACAATTTCATTAAAGAAGTATTATCTAAAGTTATGCTCTTGTACTGTACCTTTAGTTAGCAAACATTGAGCCTCGGATCTTGTATCTTCTATAGGATTATTAGACGCCAACTGATTAGAGTCATAATATTTTATCGAACCGGGGCCAGAGAATTCTTTGGTATATTCATTGGCTTGTAAAACATTTGTGACCTATAATTAATGTCATAAGAACGTTAATCATAATAGCAGATGTAATGACATGTACAAGTGAAATATAATTTAAATGTACCTCCTGCGGCGTGAGCCGCGGTAATGCCATGTACAATCGACGAAAGCTCTTGTTGCCGCGAGATTCGCTCGTTCTAGCGTGCACATGTCGAAAGCTTTTTACGAAATCGTAACTGATTTTTTGCAAGACCATTCTATTCCGAATACCTTTCTTTAGGCTAATTTTCCGTTTCTCCTCTGCTTTTCCAACACATCTTCGATTTTTTGTAGGTTAAAACATTCAAAGCAAATATAGCAATATAGCAGCATTCAAATTTGACATGTATATAAAAATCCTGGTACTTTTCGTATACCGCGTATTTACGTAATACAAATGTGATTTTTTTGTCTCTGAATTTAACCAAAGGGTCTTAAATTCATGAAATAAAACATCAGTTCGGATGTGCGTAATATAACGTCGTCACCTTACAACATCACGTAGCACGCATAAAATCAACGTAAACACGTGCGATTTTCAAAACTCCAGACATTCGCAGATCCTATATCATCCCACTCTGTGTCAAAGGCTAAACCAGACTAAACGAAAATGAACAAATGAGACCCATGCGACCTGGCGACCAACGCACCTCCACCTCCCACTCGAAACTTTCGAGTATGCGTACACAACTGGAAATTTTACATAACAACGAGCGCATTTAAGCCGACAAAGCAACTAACTGGTAACCGTACGATTAAACGTGATTGGCTCTTATTTATAAAACTAATCAATCACATTCAATCTCGCTTGACGAGCAAATTAACAGCTTCGTTTGGTTTGACGCAACCAATGGTTCGGCGCGTTGAAAATCAGGCTTAAGAAATTTGATATTCCCTAGCGGTTTAGCACCTTACGGTTTGTCCGACTGCTTTCGATCGTCGGCGTTTGAAATTCAAAACTCAACGTAACGCCAAACGGCTCTCCGCGTGCTTTGATGGTGAAGTGACGAGCGTTTGTTCGCTGATTCCGTTAATTTTGACGTGATATCCTCCGCATTCGCGACGAAAAGGATTTGCCCTCAAGCCGAGCGAGCTCCATTATCAAATAACGATTAAGATAACGGAACGCCAAGATTTTCGAGACTGCAGCAATAAAAACGGCGGCGAAGACGGCATTAATGGCAACGATAGCGACGACAATGCCGTGATGTAAGGATGATGTAAACTTTTGCTCCTTTGCTCTCTGAAATTTTATCAAGAAATTATAATAGTTGAAGACCGTGAATCAATAATATTTCATATGATTACAGTCTACTAACAATGGTTTTTAACAAGAAGGATTTAGGCAAGGCGGTCTCGCCTAACAAAATCAAAAAAGTGGGGCTCAAAAGACGGCTGTCAGCCAGCGGATCGGTCAAGCCAAGTACGAGCGGTTCTACGATGATAAAGGCCGAGGATATCTCTGAAATATCCATTAAGGTGATTGTGAGAGTTCGGCCACATAATGAACGTGAGCTACAGGATAACAGCAGGACTGTCATTGAGATTGTAGATGACAAAATGTTGATCTTTGATCCAAAAGAACAAGCGACGCCTTTCTTTTTTCATAATGTAGCACAGAAGGGTAGAGACATGTTAAAGAAGCAGAACAAACAGTTGCAGTTCATCTTTGACAGAATCTTTGACTCAACATCCACCAATATCGATGTATTCGAGGGTAGTACCAAGAGCTTGATCAACAGTCTCCTGGATGGCTATAATTGCTCTGTGTTTGCTTATGGTGCGACTGGTGCTGGTAAAACGCATACCATGCTGGGCAATAGAGAAGATCCTGGCATTACATATCGTACTGTAGCAGAGCTTTTCTCTGAAATTGAGAATCAAAGCAAACATCGCGAATTTCATTTGGGTGTGTCCTATTTGGAAATATATAATGAGAATGTGCAAGATTTATTACACAATTCGGGACAATTGCACCTAAGAGAAGATGGCAGATGTGGAGTCATAGTCGCTGGATTAGAACCAATTGCTATTCAAAACGCTGATGAATTGCTGTCGTTGTTGGCAGAAGGTAATAAGAATCGCACCCAGCATCCAACAGATGCAAACAAAGAAAGTAGTAGAAGCCACGCAGTTTTTCAAGTATATATCAAGATAATTAACAAGCTAGATAGTCAGGTGCAGCGAGTCAAGCTGTCCATGATCGATTTAGCAGGATCCGAAAGAGCTTCAGCTACTGGTTGCAAAGGTGTGAGATTTAAAGAAGGCGCTAACATTAATAAATCATTATTAGCCCTTGGTAATTGCATAAATAATTTAGCGGATGGTATAAAACATATTCCATACAGAGATTCTAAACTTACAAGGCTATTAAAAGATTCACTTGGTGGTAATTGTCACACTGTTATGATAGCTAACATAGCTCCTTCCAGTCTTACTTATGAAGATACATATAATACTTTAAGATATGCAAATCGAGCGAAGAAAATCAAATCGAATGCCAAGAAAAATGTGTCTTGCGAGATGCATGTTGCTGGCTATATCAAAATAGTGGAGGAACAAAAGAAAGAAATAGATATTTTGAAGTCGAGATTGGCAGCTTTCGAAAATGGAACGTTACAACCAATTGAGAATAAACCAAATATCGTCATGTTAGAGACGCACAACAAGCTGATAAAATTATATGAAAAGAAGAAGGAGTTGATAGAAAAAATGTTAACTTTGGAAAGCTCAGATAAGATTTTGGCATGTAGAATACTTTATAAGAAGGACGCGGATGAAAGATTGCATAATCTAACGGCAGCCAACAATGCCTTGTCACTGGAGGAGCAAAATGCTAGCGGAAAGTCACGTATTAACAAATCCGTACTTTATTTCCAACGGCAGAGGGATTCTCTTAAAGTGCAAATGCAAGAGACTTGGCAGGAATTATGTTCGATCGAGACAGAGATAAAAGAGATGAAAACTAAACCTCTCGATGAAAATTTGCAGAATAAACTGTCTCTTCAGGTTTCTAAGATTGAAAAATGCTGGATTCCTAGTATGCAACAGCATATGAAAAAACTTAGCAATCTCCTGCAATGCGAAAGACAATCGATTAATGTTATCACGAAAAGTATGAGTAATACATTGCAGAATTACTATAACATGGTAAAAGGCTACGGAACAATGACCGATAAAATGCAGATGGAATTTAAAGAGTTAATAAAGTTACTCGAAGGTTTTCGAAATATCAAATGGTCCGATTCGGATGAGGTAAGCAAGATGGACAATTTCAACATGTTTACGTGTTTGAGTACGGTTGGAATGGATCCGTTAAACAATTCAATGCCAGCAATTGCTACAGCGATACCAGAGGTGGATGATGAGGAACATGATATCTGCAATATGAATATCTTGAATTCTACCTTCAATGCTACATTTAATGTAGGTGAAAATAATTGTACCGACACCAATATTTCCATCTCAGGCGATGAGAATAATGGTCATGACAATAAATTCGTGCTGAAGAACGAATCTGTACAAGGAACTCCACGTGAAAAAATTGCAAAGAATATAATCAGGAAACGCGCACTATGTGACAAAAATAATGAAAGTAACAGCACACCTTCCAAGCAGACGAAAAAACTAATGAATAATAAAACTAATGTCCAGAGTACTACTCGAGTAGATAAGGAGAACAAACAGAGGCCTATTCAAATGAGTGCAAAGAGTATCGCCATTCTAAATAGACTAAAGAGTGATACTAATCTCTCATCTCTTTCATCTCGAAATAACAATACTGAGGAAAAAACAGTTGTAACGCTTAAAGCGGTACGTAATAAAGAGAGACGTGGTCTTATGACGACTCATCCGTATCACAAAACAACTATTGGAAAGAAGTAAGTAACGTAAAAGTTTAAAATTATTTAAATCTTTCTTTTGTGATATCTGTATTTATAATTTTATTTTTTTTTCCTGTTATAGATCCGCTCCAGCTCCACCATCCAGTAGAGTCCCGTGGTGATGTTAGACAAAAATTTTGTACCTGCATTTTCTAGATGTAACATTGAAGACATGATGGATTTTCAAACATTGCGTTAAGTACTAAGACAAAAGTTTCAACAAGATTTTTTAAATAAATATTATTGACATACGCGCTTAAACTCAAATATTCTAATGAAATGACTCCTTTTTATCATTATCTATATATGTTTTTTTTTAGCTTAATGCAAGTAAAAAAATATAAACATGTAATTATGCAAGCAATATTTCTCTGTATTTCTGTATATTTAGAAAGTTTAAATGACAAATTTTGTAATTGAAACTGTATCTTGTATATGATATGATCTGTTTGAATGATTCTCTTACTTAAGACTGATAAAGCGATAAAGGTAGAAAGTCACACAATAATCTTTATTTAGTCTTATTTGTGGAAACTGCATATAATTCATGCAAAACTTACTATAAGTTGCCAAAGAAGAAGAATGGAGTAAGAGAGAATACATTATTTTAAAATGCTATCAAACTTACGTTCAGAGATTTACATCACATAAGTAAAAATTAATACAAAAATTAAATTAGATTTTATATGTATTGACAATAAGATTCTACTGTGTGGAGAATATCGACTAATTGTATGTATCGTTAAGAAGAGAATAAATTATTCACGGAAATTGTTAAAAATTTTGTTCGTATATTGAAAAAGTCGAAATTTTTTTTTCCAGATAAAAAATTAAATAATTACTTCTTCAAATCTTCATTGAGAGTTTCCTGAAAATACCAAATTTATTATATATTTTATTCTTAGTTATTAGCCATTATTCAACTTACGTATTCCCGCAAGGCATGTGACATGTGTTTCGAAATTTCCGGAATTGTCAAATCTCCGGTCGATTGTCGACCACTGACTATCGTCGGCAGAATCGATCTCGAACGGTCAAAAAGCGTGGCAAATGATTGCAATAGAAACGCTAGAAAAGCCAACGACGCTAACACACTGATAGGATCAAAAGTGCTAAAATGTCATTTAATGCTGTCAATAATAATTGCAACGAGTATAAAGAAGATTTGAAATGATCAAAAAGATACTTACTGATAATGAGCTGGTGATGCGGACGAGCCGAATCCACTGTAGTAACTGCGTTGAATCAATTGTTTATGTAAATTTGGAGAATTTGGTAAGGTACAAATGGCATGTTTCTCGTCTTGTATGCATCCGATAAGTAACACAGAGGTGGATTGCTGCAAGATGGTGCTTCACTTATAGTTTTTTCCAATTTTGTTACCAGCATTTCGCATAGAATAATGTCAAACGCACCAAGGAGCAACGTAATCTTCAACATTTTATATTCGAATGATTATTTAAACTTTTCGAACTTTTTATATCGTGCAAAATACTAGACAGAAACCTCTGTGCATTATAGAAAAGAAACGATTATTAAAATACGCAAGATACCAAATGTTAACATTACGTGTTCAAATATCACAATTCGATGTCATGAATATATATATATATATATACACATGTGCACACACGCGCGCACACATACATATTTATATACATATAGATACTAAACTAAAAGAAATGACAAGCGAGCGTTTATAGTTGATTTTGTATGCTCCAATTGTTGTTTATTTAATGTATATTGTAGTAAATTCATATACCGTTAC